ATCTGCACAGTGTGGAGAGAGACCAAAGCAAGAGGTGGTAACAGTATCACACTCAGGTGGCCAGAGCAGGTACCGGGGCACAAACCAGACTGAGAAGGTGGAACTGCCTGAACTCGGCAAGTGAGGGGGGCACAGTAGAGGCACAAGATAGGAAGATTACCAGACATGACCAAGGTTTGGGACCTGGGAGGAGGAGGGGGAGGGGAGCAGTTCACAGGTTGCAGTAAGAGTCAGGAGGAAGAGCTGGTTTGAGAGAAAAGCTGGAACCGCAGTCTGTAACTCAGGACAAGAGAGAGACAAAGAGCTGTAAAGTGATAAAGTCTGGGAGGAGGTGAAACTGGAGAGAACGATGGAGTGGAGCGAGAAGCAGCTATGTCCGTGAAAGCCCATTTTCAAAGACAGGCGGCCACCCAAACAAGATGTGATAATTATCACTATCATTAACAGCTGCACGGTCCAAGCGGCCTTGGGCAGGGAGGAGGGCTGACGCCCCACCACGCATCCGCTACAGCTGGGAGGAGGGCGCAGGCGCTTCCACTTGTTGCAGACAACAGCGGGGTCCTCCAGGCCACGCGGGGTCCCGCCGGCCGGCCGCGCTGCTCCCTGAGTCCGACGAGGCTTTAATCATTCACCTGCTGGTTATGGGTCGCGGCTCCCAGGGCCCTAGCTCCATCCCCCGTCCAAGCGACCGGAGAAGGCTGGGCGTCCCGCTTCCTTCCTGCTCTGCCGCTCCTCTGCATGCGGGGACCCCTATGCCGACGCACTCACCCGCTCCTACGCAGCGCTTCCCGACGCCCCCCGCGACCCTCCCACCCAGACCCCCGGGACTCCGTTCCTGCGGCTCACAGGAAACTTTGTTCCCCCCCCCCCCATTGCCTTGTACCTCCTGGTAGGATGTGGAGAGCTCCTGCCGGATCATGGCACTGACCAGAGCTAAGGCACACCTAATCCGGCTAAGCCCAGGAGGAGCAGCGAGGCGAGCACCGCGGCTGCAGCGCCGGGACCTCCGGCTCCGCACGGGGCAACCGGTTCGGAGGAGGGGCGGTCCCGAGACAAGGCGGGGCGGTACTTGGCGCATGCGCCTCGCTCCTGCCGCCGCTGGAGCCGCGAAAGGGTTGCTGGGAAATGTAGTTCTGAGCAAACGGCACCTCTGCACACAAGGAGCGGTGAAGTCTGCGCATAACCCAGAGCCAGACTTAACTGTGGGGTGAGACGCACGTGCTCCTTTCAACTCTCACTTCCTCTTTGTTGAAGGGGGAGGGACGGAGAAATGAATGGAAAGTGGAACAAGGGGCCAGGTCAGATGCGTCGTACAGCCTAATCTATAATTGCATGAGGAAGCTTGACCTGGAGGTTTATAACCGCAATAAGTGTCTGAAGAGAGCTTTGTATGTGAAAAGTTCTTTCACTCACATTATGCCCTTGATTCTGCAAGGAGCCCCATAAGGGGGACATTTTTCTCCCTGTTTTACAGACGAAGAAACTGAGGTACCTTGTTTCAGAGCGGAAGGGGAGAGGGCAGTGATCAAGTGAAGATCATTTAGTCCAGGAACAGACTACAGAATCCAAGTTCTTTCCATTATTCCTAGGGCAGACACTGGGAGTGAGGACTTCTAGGTTCTTGTCCTGGCTCCGCCCCTCTCCCGCAGGTCTGATAATGCTCTGAATCCTCCTCTTCACCTTAGAATTCAAGGGCTCACCCTGCCCTGCTGCATAGGGCTTTATGAGAGCCAAAACAGATCTGGCAGCAAAACCCCAAGGCACTGTTCACCACAGCAGAAGTCTCGCATCCTGAATGTTGCAGAGAAATGAGTGTTTGCCCTGTGGCAGGATGGACCTGAGGACCACATCTTCCCCTCTTGCTGCCTGAACAGCTGTCCTGTGCGGCCACCCTGGACTGCCTAGTGGCGAAGCAGATAGAGGTTGCTTATGCCTGGGTGAATGCTGCTCTGTGTCCCCAGCAGCTGCAGCTCTGCCACTCGCTGCACTCAGGCCACTCTGGGCCTCTCTTCCCTCCTCAGCTGCAAGCACAGTAGCACCAACCAGAGTACCATGGACCTCCAGGAGAGCATTAGCAGAGAAAGGCCTCCATCACCTCTCCTGATCACCCTCCCCCAACCCAGGCTCTGCTCCTACACCTTTTAAATGGGACGATATACATAGCACCTAACACATGGTAGAAACTCAACAAACCTTTGTTAAGTTTACGAATGGAACGCTTATTCCAGCCAATACATGTAACGCTTGCTTGTCAAAACGACAACAAACAACTCATTCATTTCCTTACTGTATTAATACAAGTGTGGTTGATAGAACAAGTCACACAATCATAGAATTTTAGAGCTGGAAGGAACCAGAGAAATCTAGTCCAGCCCCATCATTCCTCTGTACTCTTTGCTGATATGAACAAACTGAAAAATTACATGCTCCCATATTTGAAGGAGATACTGACTAATACGATATTCAGCTGGTTTAATACAGTGTGCTGGGTACTGGGACACCAAAATGAATAGGATATTCCAAGGTCCTTGCTCTTGTGGCTCTTCCATGCTGCAGTGGAGAGACAGACCATAAACACATAAATAGAATTTTCTGCACTTGCTGTCCCCAGATCCTGTCCTTCCATTCCCTCAAGCACACACCAATCAGGCTTTCATACTGTCTACTCCATTGAAGTGGTTCTTGTCAAGGTCACAAATGACTTCTGAGTCGTCAAATCCAATGGCTATCTCCCTGTCTTCCTCTTTCTTGACCTGTCAGCTGTGTTTGACTCAGCTGATCACCCCCACCTTGCACAGTTTCCTCCCCTGGCTTCCAGGCCTCCACATACTCTCACATTGCCCCCCACCACTCACTGCTCTATTTCAGTCTCCTTTGCTGGCTTCTCCTCATCTGCTCAACTCTACAGGGTGGCAGTCCCCAAGCTGGATCTTTGATCCCCTTTCTACTCACTCCCTATGGGCTAGTGAAGTGGTCTTCTCTAGATTCATGGCTTGAATTGCCATCTATACCCTAAATATTCCTGTTATGGATTGAATGGTGTCGCCCCAAAAGATATGTTGAAGTCCTAACCCCTGGCACCTCACAGTGTGACCTTATTTGGAAATAGGATTGTTGTGAATGTAATTAGTTAAGATGAGGTCATACTAAAAGGTGATTCCTTCCTCTATTACGACTCATGTCCTCACAAAAAGATGGAAGATGTGAAGATAGACACACAAGGGAGAACGAACGCCCTGTGATAACAGAAGGTGTATCACTTACAGTGATGCAGCTGTAAGTCAAGGTAGCTTTAATCATTCACTTGCTGGTTACAGATCATGGCTCAGAAGGCCAGGTTTCATCCTTGGCCAAGCAATGGGCAGCATCTCAAGGCTCACCAGCCACCACCAGAAGCTAGGAAGAGGCAAGGAAGCATTCTACCCAGAGTCTTGGAAGGAGCATGACCCTGCCGACACCTTGCTTTTGGACTTCTAGCCTCCAGAACTGTGAGGGAATAAATTCTGTTATTTTAAGCAGTCTAGTTTGTGGTACTTTGGTATGGCAGTCCTAGGAAATGAACACAATTCCCAAGTGTATGCAAATGAATAATTCCAGTCTCCAGCTCTCCCCTGAGCTCAGACTCACACATCCAACTGCCTAGGCAGTTTCTCCACTGGATGTCCAGCCGACAGCAGCCGAGGGTAGCTACTAACAGCATGAACCTGGCAAGAAACTGCTTGGTTCTATGTCTTGGCTCTGCCACTTAAACACTTTGTGGTCTTGGGAGCTTTATTTAATCTCTCTGTGCCTCAGTTACCTTATATGTAAAATGGGAATATTACTACCTATTCATAGGGTTCCAAGAGGATTAACTGAGTCATTAGATATAAATTACTTGGAACAACACCCAGCACATTGTAAATGGTATATTAGTGTTAGTGGTTATTGCGAGGTTCAAAAGGAACTATTGGTATTCCTATCCCAAATCTGCTCCCTCCCAGTCTTTCTTACTGTAATAAACTCCATCGTCCCATTTGCTCTGGCCAAAACTCTGCAGTCATCCTCGGTTCCTCCCTTTCTTGTATAACCCTTATCTAAATCAGCAAATCCTGCTGGCTCTGCTTTCAACATTTATTCAGAATCTGACCATATTTCACCACCTCCACCATCACCACCCTAGTACAAGCCACCAGCATTTCTCCTGGACTATTTTCAGTAGCCTCCTAGCTGGTCTCTGCTTCCACCTTTACCATTCTACGATCTCTTCCAACATAGCAGCCAAGGAGAGGCTGCTAAACAAAGTCAGGTCACGCCACTCCTCTGCTCCAATCCCACCAAAGCCAGCCAAAGTCCTCACAGTGGCCCAGATGGCCCCATAGGATCTGTCCTGCAGCCCCCATCTTTCCTATTACTCCTCCCCTCACTCGCTCATCTTCAGCATGCTGAGCCTAAGAGCCTTTGCACTGGCCATTCCCTGTCCCTGGAATGCTCTTATCCTGATATCTATATGACTCACTTCCTCACCTCCTTCAGTCTTTTCCCAAATATCACCTTATCAGTGAAGCCTCCTCTGAGCACCCTGTTAAAACAGCAAACCCCAATGCCAGCACATCCCCCTACCCTGCTTTATTTTTCTCCTTAGCATGAACTACCTTCTGACTTTCGTTTATTTTCAGTCTCCCTCCACTAGAACGTAAGCTCCACGAAGGTGGGGTTCATATGTGTTTTATTCATTGCTGTATCCCAGTGCCTGACATATATTGGTACTCAAATAGTCATTGAATAAATAAACAAACAAAATAATTTCACATAGTGATAAGACCTCTAAAGAAAATGTAAAAGGATGTGTGATAGGGAGTGATAGGGCAGCTGTGAGGGGAAGCGCAGATTTATCTCATGAGAGCCAAGAGAGGCTTCGTGATGGTAATGACGTGTGACCTGAGACCTGAATGACAGAAGGGGCCAGCACATGAAAACCTGCACCCCAAGCAGAGGGCACCAGTACAGTACAATGACCCAGGCTGGAACCCAAGCAGAAGGCGGTGTGGCGGGAGGGGACAGAAGGAACGCCACATAGGAGGCAGAGTCAGAGGGCTAGGCAGAGGCCACATCATGGAGTCTGGGTTGTACTGGTCCTGGGCTTGTCTGCTATGGTCCAGTCTTCACCTCTCAGCTCTGGGTTGTGGGGACTAACCCTGAGGGTTGGGTTTTCACTGGGCTCAGTCCAGAGGAGGCACTGCTGGAACATTAGAGGGGGTCAGGGCAAGGGAGAAGCCAGGGGTTTTCTTTCCCTTGCTCTCTTCCTGACAGCATCCCCTCCACGGCTCCAGCCCCTGCTGCAAAGGCTTTTTGTAGTTCTAGCTTCAGCACAGACTCATAATAACACCACCTCCTCCTTTCCACTGGCGAATGTCACAATCTTCCTGCTTTTGTTAATCTCTGGGTTGTTTTGTTCAGCCTCTTCAATCACCTGTGTAACCAACTCCCTGCATTACAGCCATTGTGTTTTACTTAGAACACTTTCTATTTTCCTTGCAGGTGACTGACTGATTCTTTTGGAAAAATGAATCTAGTAGAAAGGCAATCAGGGATGCCTGGAGAAATCCAAGACAGTATGAGCATGCTATTAAATTACAGACTTATACTCAGCATCTCAAGGAGGAGGAAGCTAGATCTGATCAGTAGAAATTATAGGGAGCATTTTTTGGCATAAAGGAGTTCCTAACAAATAGAACAGTAGAGAGAGAAAGGGCTCATGCAGGGAAGCAGCACCCTGTTGCCAGGGATGTTATGGAACATGATGCATTAGGAAGGGGATGATATTCTATTCAATGGTTAGAAGGGCCTATTCTACCCTGAAGATCCTGTGACACAGAGTGACATAGATACTGCACGCCACAACTTACCCAGCCTTTCACATCCGGTATCATTTTTAGTTTCAACACAATCATGTCAACAGGCAGGCCAGTCTGTTACTAATGTGGAAATTGAGATTCAGGGGGCCTGTGGACAGACCCTGTTTAGGTCGCTCTGCACAGGAAGGCTATTCTGTTAAATAAGTGAATATATGAAAACATGGTGCAGTCACTCAGCGGGGTGTCACCTGGTGGTTAGAGCAGACTGGGTCACAGGGCTCTGCCACCTACTTGTGTCTACTTAAGGCCTCTGCACTTCTGTTTCATCATCTGTAAAATGGGCCATAATAATAGTTCTTACTTCATAGAGTTCTAGTGAGGGTGAAATGAGTTAATACACGTAAAAGCTCTGAACCAGTGCATGGCACACGGTGAGCCCTGCATTCGTCTCCTTTGCCAGTTCTACCCACCACGAAATGTTGGCAAGTCCCAAGAACTCAGTCCTTGGTCCTCTCCTCCTCCTTAATCACATGTATTTCCTTGACAAGTTCATTCATTCCGTGTCTTTAAATACTGTCTATGTGCCAATGACTCCAGAATTTATCTCTCTAGCGGGGGATACTTCCCCCAATTCCAGACTCAGAGCCAACGGTCAATTTGATACTTTCGCTTAGACATCTAAGTGTTCTCCAGCTAAACAAGCCTGATCTTGATCTTCTCCCCCAAACCTGCTCCTCCTCCCATCTCTCCTTATCTCAGTAAAGTGGCAACTGCATCCTTCCGGTTGCCCAGGCCCAAACCCTCAGGGTCATCCTTGACTCCTCCCTGCCTCTCAGACCCCAAGTCTCAACGGTCAGCACATCCTGTGAGCCACACCTCCAAAACCTACGGAGATCCACCCACTTCTCCCCTTAGCGAGCACCCTGTCCAAGCCACTGTCACCTCTTGCCAGGATTCTTCCTCCCTGCGTACGTCTATTCTCAACACAATAACCGGAATCATTCATTAACATTTTAACTCATTCATTCCTTTGTTCCATTCACTTACTGTAATAGCCAAAGTCTTTTAAAAATAAGCTGTGAGGCCCCAAGAAATCTGTCCCCCTCCTGCCCCTTTACCCCCTTACCTCCCGGACCTCATCTACCCCTCTCCCCTCCTTGCTGTGCCTTCCACAAGCAGGGCACTCGCCCTCCGCAGCATTTGTGCCCTCGCCTTTCCCTTCCCAGGGATCGCTCTCCCCTGCAGACCACCTCCCTCAGCTCCTGTAGATTTTTATACAAATACCACCTTCTCCGTGGGGCCTTCCCTGGCCAGCCAATTGAAAATTGCAACCCCCTCCCCGCAATGCTCCCTCTCTCTTTGCCCTGCTTTATTTTTCTCCCTAGTTAGCATTCGTGACCATCTAACAAACTACTTATGCATCTTACTTCTTGTCTATCTCCCGCATAGAATGTGAGCTCCCTGTGGGCGTGGCTCTGTCTCGTTCAGCGACGTGTCCCCCCATGGAGGCCCTCAAAGAGTATGTGCTGAGTAAAGCCATGAAGGAAGGCTTGCACAAATGTCACCTGTTATTATTTCAGTGCATATCTGTGCCATCCCCTACCCTTTGCAAAAACCCCCTTGGGAACCCGAAATTTAAACACAACTGGGAAGAAAAAAAATATATCAGCCCAAAGCGCAAGTGAATTAATACAGTGGAGGTGCTAGTTTATAAATATACCTTCCCAGGTGCTGGAATGTTGGGCTGTGTCATCTACGTATCTATCTGATCAAGGAGCTACTGCAACCTACGTCGTTCTTTTGTTCAACTTTCAGTCGGCAGTTCGGAGTCTCAGGAGTGTTGGGTGGAAATTCTAGTTCAAGCTTCCAGCGGCGCGACCCCGGCGCACTCCCGCTCCCGGCGCTCGGGGCCGCGGGCGCGCGCGGGGCGGGGTTGCGCGCTGCTGGCGGGAGCGCGCGGGCTCCGCCGCCCAGGCCGCCGTGGTCCTGCTCTGCGCGCTGACCATGGCCGGCCCCGCGCCGGGGCGGAGGCTGTGGCCGCTGGCCGCGCTGGCCCTGGCCCTGGCGCTGGCCCCGGAGCTGCCCGCCGTCCAGGCCGGGCAGACGCCGCGCCCCGCCGAGCGAGGCCCCCCAGTGCGGCTCTTCACCGAGGAGGAGCTGGCCCGCTTCGGCGGGGAGGAGGTACGGGGGAGAAGCGGGCCGAGGGACCCGGGGCCCATCCGCCCTCGCGGTGAGGGCGGCCGGGACCCGGAGGCCGCCGTAGTCGGGGAAGGCCCCCGGGGAGGCGCGGGCCGAGGCAGGCTCCCCCACCGGGAGCCCCGGCTCGGAGCTGGGCGCCAGGCCTGCCGGGCCTCCTCTCTCCAGGCCCCGATGGCCGCCCAGGGATAAGGGGGAGTCCTCAGCAATCGGGGCGCCCTGCTTGCCCCTCTCCACCAAGCCTGGACACCCCACCCCGCGCTTCCTCCTCGATTCCTGAGCTGCTCCCTTGAGATGCATTTTGGCTGGTGGTCTGTAAGGAACGTCAGAACAGTTTTGTGTTTCATGATGGCATCAGCTCGGGGGATGCCTACACTCTGGGGAGTGGCAGGAGAGGGAGGGAGGGAAGCGAAGCCTGCTCCCTGGGTTAGACGGGAATTGGGGTGGGAGGGCCCAGGCACGGGTCCGCTTTCCCTACACTGTGTGTTCCTGCCCCTGTATCCCAGGCCTCCTCTGCAGCCCGCTCCTCAACCCAGCTTTGAGTGCCTGTGCGCTCTGAGCTGATCAGGAGCAGCGGGGGAGTTCCCAGGGGGTGATCAGAGCTGAGACAGATCCCCCCAACACACCCACATTAGTCAGTACTCTGGAACCTCACAATCCGCTGTCCACTGGGCTTGCTGTGGCCCAGTGTGATGGCTGCGGAGTGTGGGAACCATATGTTGCACATGAGGAGGGTCACAGGGGGACCGCTATTAGATCTGGAAGGGGGAGGGCACAGTTTGGTGGGGAAATCATGGCACCATAGCATTTCAGAGTTACAGAAATCAACTTCCTGCTTTTACACATGAGGAAACTGAGGCATGCCACCATTTAATGGTAGAACGAGGAAGGGACTCAATGTTCTCTTGTACAAGTCCTCTGGCTTGGGCTCCCTACCCCCTAAGTTAACTAGCCTTAGACCAGGTTTGCAAAGAGGACCCAGAAATCTGGCCTTTAGGCAGCAGTGCTAGTTGGGGATCATTGTCAAGGTTGGTTGGAAGCTTGAGGTGATAAGAACACAGAGGGAGGAATACAGGGATGTGATAGATGTTAAGGGACGCCATCTTTTGGGGTGCCGGGGAACCAGATGGTACAGGGTCAGGGAATCTGTGTACGAAAGAGTTAAGTTATCAGCCTGCTCTCCTTAGAAAGGCCTGCTGGGAAGAGTGGCTCTTGGCTGGTGTCTGGATTTCCAGGGTGTCCCACGCTTCCCTACCCGATAAGGGTGGCTCAGTCTGGGCTCTTTGTACAGACAGTATGTTTCTGTTGGACACTGCCGGGCAGAGACGGCCTACATGTCCAGGGCCCAGTAAAAACTTTGGGCTCTGAGTCTCTGATGGGCTTCCCTGGGCAGAAAATGGCACACATGTTGCTGCATTTTGTTGCTGGGGGAGCAGTGTGCCTGCCCTGTGTGACCCTCACGGGAGGGAGAGAGCATAAGGAAGTCTGCACACAGATTCCCCCAGACCGCCTGTGTCCTTTTCCCTCATGACCCTGCTGTGTCTCCTCACTCATGGCTATAATAAATCCTACTGTGAGGACAACTACGTGCTGAGTTCTCTGAGCCCTTCTAGTGGATCTCCAAACATGGGGGTGATCTTAAAACCCCCAGTGCAGAACCCAAGGGGAGAGAGGTCAAAGTGGAGGGTACCTGCAGCAACCGTGCCAGGGGTTGCGGGATGAGGACTGAGACAAGATCTTGGGTTTTTTATGCTGATATTATTGATACTTAACTGAGGGAAGGAGAAAGGAAGATTGAAATGGAAACAGGTTAAGGAAAGAATATTTTGGGTATGGGGCCCAGAGAAAAGAAAAGAGTAAGGGAGGAGGGGGCAGTTGGAATTGGTTTGTGTGATCATGGGGGCTGGCGTGGCAAGTCTAAATTCCGTAGGGCAGGCTGTCGGAAGGGCAGGCCTGGGCAGGACCTGATGCTACAGCCCACCGGTGGAATTCCTTCTTCCTCAGAGAATCCTCGATTCTGTTCTTAAGGCCTTTCCACTGATGCAATCAGACCCACCCAGATTATTCAGGATAATCTCCTTTCCATAAAGTTAACTGATTGTAGATATTAATCACATCTACAAAATACCTTCACAGCAACACCTCAGATAAGTGTTTGGTTGAATAACTGGATACTGTAGCCTATCCAAATTGACACATGAAACTGATTATCATAATGACTATAATAAGAGTTCCTACTCTATATAGGGATTTTGTGAGAATTAAATGAGATGGTGATATGCAAAATGCTTAGCATAGACCTGGTAGAATGTTAGCACAGTAAACCTGAATAATACTAGCTGCTATTATTTTTATTAGCTTATTATTAAAGATATAAGCAAGAGGTGGTATAACAGGCCCACAATCCTTATGCAATTCAGAAATCGAATAAGCTCTAAAAACCAGGATTTTTTTTTGTGTGTGTTTTTTTTACTAAGTCATTTGACAGCAAAACCTGACCTGATCTGAACTCCTTTGGTGAAGGAACTTGGTTGGAGCTGACACAAGTCTATTTATAGTCTTCATTTATCCTACTTAGTGTGAGTATTCATGTTCACGTTTTACTGTGGAAATATCAGTATAGTTGATTATGGGGTGCTGCCTTGGACCCCTTGTAGGTGTTATGGTATGTGCTCCCTAACATCTTTCTAAAATCTAACAAATTCTGAATTCCAAACACAGCCCACCCCCAAGAGTTTCTGCTATGGGATTGTGGACCTGTGTAACAAGTCTTTCTTGTAACACCTAGCAATGAATGTCTTATTTCTGTTGGGTTGTCGGAAAAGTCAGGGCGTATTTTTTTCTATGTTTTTGGTTGCAAAAATGCGTCATGACTTTTCCGACAACCCAATACTATAACCTTTTTGGATGCGAGCCACGGCAGACCCACCTGTCCCGGTCCCACGTTCCGCTGTGCAGTTTGTGGTGAGAGCTGGGGCACCCATGCAGGGAGCTGCATAATGTCTCCAGTGCCATCTTCAGATTGCAAATTGTGGAAGACGGGGGTTGTGGCCGCTGTGCCTCTCCCAGAGCCATACTGTGTTCTGGATCTACTGCACGAGCCCCTGACCCAGCCTCCTCCTTTGGGGCCTTGTAGGTCCTCAGAGTGATCCACAGCGCGGCTCCTTAAATCACTCACACACAGGAGTATGAAAATAGCTATACTTGGGCCTCTGGAATAAATGAGTCCTCTTGGAATATCCGCTGAAAATCCAGCTTCCGTGAAACCTGGTCCATCCTCCCAGAATGTGCCTGTGCTCAGTCACCAGCTCTCCTTGGCATGTGTGCTAAGAGGGGGCGGGGCTACATGTGTTTGCCCCTTTTCTAAAACTTAACGATAGTGAAGGGTAGGAGTATACTTCCTCCAAAAGGATCCTTCTGGACAGACATAAAGAATATACAGACAGTGAAGGCTGCTGGATAGAGGTAGGTGAATACAGAGGTGAAAGCAACCTCTCTAATTACACAGTAGAAGGGCGGCTCATAGACAAAATAAAATATATTTTGCATCCTACCCCAGTATACACACACAACATTGAAACAAAAGCCTTGTGAAGTTCCACAAAACAGTGCTTGTTCTACTATGTGTGATGCACTCGGATGCTTTCTATTTTCTGTTTTAAACTTTTTTTCCTGTTTCATTTGTTAAAAATCTGTTGGTAAATCACTAAATTCATTTCACGACCCACTGGTAGGTTACCAATGCCAACCGCAGTTAGAAAAACACGACCCTTGGAAGGCCCGGCCAGTTCTATAGAACATCCACCATAGTTTCCTTCTTTTCCAAGAAGAGTCGCCGGCAAGGAACTTCTCTGCTCTGTCCCTGGCCCCTGGTGCAGGGTCTGAGGGTGTGAAAGCTCAGGGGCGCCTGCAGACGGCTGGGCCCGCCTTCATGCCTGCACCCCGGCTCCAGGCCTCGCTCTCCCATCTGTGGAAGAAGCCCTCCTTCCTCTGCCCCGCTGCTCGTGTAGCCCCGTGTCATGGCAGCGTGCGTGACGCTCCACTGGCCCTGCTTGACCACAGTCAGGGAGGGAGCCCGGAGAGTAAGCCAGCCCAAGACCCAGAGGAAAGAGAAACACTTGGTCTCGTTTCTGCAGGCAGCTCCCTGATTCCCTTCCACCAGGGTAACTCTTACCCACTCCCTGTGTCTTTCCTCATGGCCCTGGGTCTTTTGGATGAATTTCCCAGGACACACTCACCCTACCCTGGTCACAGGCAAGTCCTCGTGCTGTCCTCGTGCTGTGTGCCCTCTGGTGGGGCAGGCCAGAGAGTGGGCTGAGCCTGGGGCTCCTAGGTTCCAGGTTCCAGATCCTGCCCTCCTAATTAGCTCTGTGACTCTGGGCAAGTTTCATCGTCTCCCCGGGCCTGGAAAGCCACATCTGCAAAACGAAGGTGGTAGATAATCTTCAAGGCCCCTTCTAGTTTTAATGTAAAATTCCTCCAGAGCCCTTATCAGTCACTTGAGAAGTATATTTCTTTCTCTCTTAACTTTAGGAAAATCTCCTTCTACTTGGTTATCTGATTCCTCTTCGATCTTATAATTGTCAAAACTTAGAGGAGGAAAAGGAAAACTAACATTTATTTCCCTATACTGCTAAGTGCTTTATATCTCTTGCCTTGGTTAAGAGATATTACAGAGGAGGAAACTGAGGCACAGAGAAGTAAAGTAATTTACCCAAGGCAACACAGCTCATAAGTGATGGCCCCAAAACCCACACCTGTTTGACTTAAAAACGTATGCGAGGACCACAACAACATGGTGTGGTCTCTTGGAAAAAGACAGACCTCGTGCTCTTATTTTGGATCTGCTGTGGGGATAAAAAGGATACCTGATGTGTCCTTCCAGGGGGATGAGGGGATGGGGGACCATGGTGTGAAGCTGGTGCTGAGCATGTGTGTCTGGATCGTGTCTCTTTGGACATTTCTATTCTGGAGTCTGCATTTATGATCCCAAGGCTTCCACCTGCCTTCCGTCTTCTCAGTTGCCATCTCTGGGTCCTGAGAACCCATGCCTGCAGGCTCTGCTTTCAGGGGACAGCCATCTCCATGTGATAAGCACTCAGCCCCCGGAGCACACTTGGCATGAAACCGATAGGCCATTTCTCCGGAATGTCTATGGAGCAGGAATGCCTCCAAAGACGCTCAACATTCCTTCCTCCCGCTTGGCTATGACGTCCTCTTAGCACTGACACCTTCAACGTGTAGCTTCACGAGGAGATACATATTTAACTTGAAGAAATGGAGAGTGTTACTGATAAGAAGCGTGTTTTTATATCTTATGCATGTGAACGTCATGTTGATATGCCTCTTTGCATACAGAAAAGAAATAAACATCCAAGAAAAAGCAACAGAACGGAAACCATGACAACCTGCCCTGAGTAGAATTATAACTGTAATATATTTTTAAATTGATATAAATATATAACGCCACTTGATAAACCATCAAAGTGGAGGAACAAATAGCCACAGTGAAGGAAAGGCAGTAAATCAACCCAAAGGAAAATGCAGTCTGCTGGCTGGTTAAGTCACATCCTGTGAAATAAGATGAAAGGGAGCAAGTCTCCACCGAGATGACCAAGTGCTGGGGACTATCTGTAGGAGCTAATTAGGGAATAATAACAACCAGCCATTTACTGGGCCTCTATGCTATACCTGCTTTGAGTTCACGTCCACTATTTCCCTCAGCGTTCCTGCCAGGGAGGGCAGGTGTTAGCCCCATATGATGGTTAGAGAAACCGAGGCCTAAGAAGTTATGGGACAGTGAGATATGTTTCTGTGGCCTAGTTGCTTAACTTCTCTGAGCCCCAGTTCCTCTGTCTGTTAAATGTGGTCATGAAAACACTGACCTTAAGCTCTATGAGTACGAGAGCCCTAAGGCCCACCCAGAGAAGGTCAAGCAGCATATTCTTGGAGATCGTGAAATTCTTCTTCACTCAGCTCAGCTGTAATTCCTACCCTCAACCCGGCCCATGAGCCACCTGGCTGGTGTCCCTCTACCCCTGATGGGGTTGAGACAAAGGAAAGACGAGGTCCTGGGTGTCCTAGAAATGTGCCAGTCACCCCAGCCTGAGCCTGACTTGATGGAAGTTAGAAAATCCACTCCATTTGCTCTTGTGTTATTCTTTTGGGAGCAAATTAGGGTAACATTTTATACCCATGAATAAGGCAAAAAATAAAATATAATACCCATTGTTAGAACTGTGGGGAAAGAGCATTATTTATATTTTTCTAGCACAATAAATCCTTTTTTAAAGGACAAACTGGTAAAATATAAAAAGTGGTTATGTTATTCATATACGTTTGCCCAGGAATTCCACGTATTGAAATAGGCCTCAAGGACATAACTCATCAAATTAGAATGTAACTTGTAGAAAGATATTCTTCATAATGCTGCCATTTATAGTTGTAAGGAACTGGAAACAAGCCAAATAAATATCCAAAACAGAAGAATAGCTAAACAAATGGATACACAATATCACTAATATATAGCTGTTTAAGTGACAGCCATTTTGGTTATTGCAATATTTGGAAATGTTTCCATGAATTAATGATAACCTATAAGAAGCAAAATATAAAATAGATCGTTTATACTGATTACATCCATGTACATACATTGACGAAGATGAAATTTGGGATGATTTAAATAATTCATCGTTTAATAGTCTTTTGAATTTTTATCTGCTCAGAGTTGCTGCAGTTTTGGATTTTTTTTTATTTAAGTAAGGTATTGCCATTGACTTGTTGTGATGCTTTGTAACTTTTCCAAGTTTTTGCCAGTGACTTGTGCAGGTAGGGGCGAGCTCGCTGAGGACTGGCTTATGGAAGGCTGCTTTGGGGCTTCACCCACTGCTCCCTGCACAGCCCAAGGTGGGAAGAGGTTTTCCTCACTTGAGCTGGAAGAGCTGAGCTCTTTGCTTCCTCCTCAGAGCTTCTTCTGCTTTCTAGGAAGATCAGCCCATCTACATGGCGGTGAAGGGAGTGGTGTTTGATGTCACTTCTGGAAAGGGTAAGTCGCTTGGCTTTACGAAGCCTTATTTCTGGGGAGCTGGGCAGCCACTGGGGTAGTGCGGGAAGGGAGGGAACCCTGGGCAAGTTTTTTATCCCCAGATGGGTTAACAATCTTTGTCAGTATTGCACATCATTCTTTTTTCTAATAATGTCATGCTCCTGCTCAAGAGCCTTCATGGCTCCCCATTGGCTATTGACTCAAATCCAAAATTGATGATTTACCCTAATTGAAGCAGTGAGAGGAAAAGGATTACTTAACGAAGAGCTGGATCATAGAACATTATAGAACATATTAATGCCATTTCATGGCTTCCCTATGGTAACTACAGATAACGTCATGGAGGTAGTTCTGTAATGGCTCATTGTTTACCTGATCCCAAACAAAAGATGTTGAACGGAAATAGATTTGGCTTCCACCGACATTTAAGAAGACGGAACATTTTTCTTGTTTACATTTCAAATATTTTCAAGAGATCATTTTCACGATTTTCTTAAACAAACACCTCTAAGCCAAGCATGTGTAAATTATCCCCTATTTTGAATTAGCGGAGCCCCAGCTGGTGGCTGGGGTGGCTTACTGGACTTCACGTCTTCCCCTCTCCTCAGGCCTGGAGCCTTTTGAGGATTGGGTTGGGTCTCGTAAGCCCTGCTCCCTGCCCTGTACAGTCTCCTGGCTGCTTTGTATACTCACCTGCACTCATATCCCCTTCCTTCCTCCCCACTACAGAGTTTTATGGACGAGGAGCCCCCTACAATGCCTTGACCGGGAAGGACTCCACCAGAGGGGTCGCCAAGATGTCCCTAGATCCTGCAGACCTCACCCATGACACTGTGAGCCAGATTATAAGCCTTTGTCAAAATGTCCCACCCGCTCAGCCATGGTGGCCTTTTAAAAAATTTTTTTTAACCTCTGGGCCTTGGCCAAGCTTCCTAACTAGCCTATTTACATGTAGCAGCCAACTATTTTCTTGAAATAGATCTTCTACTGTGCCACTCCTACTCAAAAACCTGCCATGGCTCCCCCTTGCCTACAGAGTCACGTCCAAACTCTTGTGAACTTGTGATCAAACCCAGTGAGCTTCGCGACTTGGCTGCAGCCTGCCTTGGCAGCCCTACCCCTCTTACGGTCTGCACCCACCATCCCCGGCCCCTTACAGACTTGCTGTTAGTCTCTGAGGCCCAGGTCCTAGGCCACTCTCCGTAGCTCAGGGGATGAATGGGTTGAGAGCAGAGCCTCCCCCGTGCTCATATTTCTATGCAGGAGAAAATAGCGTTAACTAAAACCATTTCAGGGTCTATGTAATCCCAACAGAAAGGCTGGCATTCACCCCAGCTGTGCTCAGATGAGTCACACTCTTAAGCCACAGCATTACAGAAACAAGTTAAGAAATTGAGGAGGGGAAGGGTGTATAAATCTATAATGGGAGGAGTGTAGAGAACAGTGGGATTAATGAATGTGACCACATCCCATCCCAGGCAGGGGTTCCTCTGGAGTCTGGAATTCCTATATCAGTTAAACAGCAAAACGTGATGAAACCATTGCACCCCTCCCACATTAGCCCCCCCCCTTCGCCCTCCCCCACACACATATACCCCACAGGGTTGTCTCTTTAAAAGTCAATTATCCATTATTTGGTTTGAGATGTTTTTTTCTCCTGCACTAGGGGTGTGGGAGAGTAAGGCGGGGAGGGTGAGTGGCCAGTGCCGCGCACGATTCACTTATCTCCACCTCCCGTGTTTCTTGGGCTTTTCTCCCCAAGACGGGCCTCACGGCCGAGGAGCTCAGATCTTTGGATGACGTCTTCACCACAGTGTACAAAGCCAAATACCCCATCGTCGGCTACACGGCCCGAAGGATTCTCAACGAGGACGGCAGCCCCAACCTGGACTTCAAGCCTGAAGACCAGCCCCATTTTGACATAAAGGACGAGTTCTGATGTCCCACCTGCAGGAGTGGGTTCTTGGGAGGGTGAGACACGCGGATGTAAAGTCTCCTGCACAGTAGGCTGCCTGAGGGGCCTCCGGTCACACAGATCTGAACGCCGAATACCTGTTGTTGTCCTTGGTCAAGCGTTCTGTCCACCTGGGTATCCTGCGCACACGCCAGCCAGGGTGGTAATACCAGCTGAAGGGGGAGGCCTCCTAGGGGTCAACATTGGCTCTCTGGGCGGGGAATTATGCATGCCCTTTATTTCTTCCTTATACTTTCTGTACTTGCCAAATTTCCTACTGTGACCATGTTTGCTTTAGAATAAGCACAAAAATAAATGTATTTTCACAAAAGAAGAGTTCTTTCACACGTGCGCATTCCATGGAGCCTCTCATCAGCACCCCTTGTAAGAGGCAGCCTGGGCTGCCCTTTTGGAGTCCTGCTGTCTCCTCCGCCGGGCAGCAGGGGGCGCCCTCGAGCTGTGGCAGAGGTGGGGAGCATTAGGTGCCGGGGTGGGGAAAGGGAAAGGGAGATATTAAAGAGACTGGCTGTACACCACAACCGGGAGAGAGCGACTGCGTGAACTGGCCTGGCCTGGGGCTCATCCCAAGGACGATGAAGGACACGCAACACGCTGTCAGATCACATTTCATAAGGAAATCCCTTGTGAGGGGATTTTTCCCTCTAAGGGACAATTGGCAACGTCTGGAAATATTTTTTAATTTTAATCCTACGACTGTAGGATGTTACTGGTATCTAGCGTCCAGGGATGTTCAACATCCTACAATACACAGGACAGCCCCCCTCACAAGGAATTATCTGGTCCAAAGTGTCAGTTGTGCTGAGATTGAGAAACCCGGAATGAGACTCATCTTGGAGATTTTACAGTGGAGATGAATTCCTTTGACATAAAACTCTGTCTTTTATTGAAATAAATAGCACCCACCCCCAAAAGAGAATCTGTACATTAAGCAGCGGAATCTCCTAGGGTGATTGTTCAGAATGCTGATTCCTGGGTCCCAGGTATTTCTAGAACATGGCCCAAGGACTGCATGTTTAATGACCTCCCAGGAGACTGTGATACAGATGGGCTCGGGTGTACTTTGAGAAATGCCACCTTAGGCCTTACCAGTCACCGGAGGGAGAGCTTTCTGAGGACCACGTGTGACCTCCACTTGACTCTTTCGTGTGTCCACACTAGAGAGTCTAATGGTGAACCTCCGAGTCCTGCTCAAGAGGCTGAGAGCCTGATGATCATCCAAGAGTAATGGGCCTGGGACTTACCAGACCAGACCCTGGCCTGTAATTCAGGAAGTCCACAAGGCCGCGGTGGTCTGTACTGGGACATTTTGCCCCCAAACAAATGATGCACAAAGGGTTATAAGTCCTCAGAACACCCGAGAGTTGACTTGTTTTACTTATGTGCCACTTCTCGCGTCACCAAGTAATGGGTGGACTAGGATTCCACTCTAGAGTCCCATCTCCGCAGCGTGGGCAACGTCTCCAAATTCAGGTCCTGGCAACCGTTTTCCCCCACTTCCCTGTCCTCCCCTTTCTCCCATCAAAGCACAGTTTTCCCTCAGGGCCCCAGGCTCACCCCCGCCCCAGTTCTGCTTCATTCCCTGCCCTGCACCACAAGCGCCACCTCCTACACCCCAGCAAGCGTCTTCTCTGAATAAGAAGCTCTCCCTGGGAGATTCCAGGTCAGCCTTTGCCAGGACAGCACGCAAAAACCTGAGCAGGCCTGAGCGGGCTCCACAGGGTGGGTACAGCTCAGGGCACGGGGACACAGGCTGGCCTGGGGACTCGCTTCATTGTGCATCTGAGATGCAGGACCAAAGAAGGAAACACACAGAACCCTGGAGCCCAAAGCCTGCGGCCTGCCTGCCCTGCTCCCATGTCCGCTTGGCATGTTCTCTGCTTTAAAGGCTTCCATATCCTCCGTACAAGACAGCTTAGACACACCTCTGCCAGGAAGCCTTCCTGGCCTCTGGGGTCCCCTGTGGCTTAGCACTCACTTGCTTTGCTGTAATTGCCTATGTCTGAGCCTGTCTCCCCCAAACAGGATAGCCTTGGAGGCCCAGCTCAGACACTCATTGAGGGTCGCCAACCTTTCCAAACTTTCTGGGTTTTGCACTGAAAGTCCTGCATCCCAGGAAACCCCTCAGTCCTGAGCAAACCTGAGGGGCTGAACTGCAGCAGCCCCTGAGGCAAGGCCCCCTCCCAGCGTAGGGGCTGCAGGCAGAGTGGGGAGGCCATGCGCCACCTTGGAATAAAAAAGGAAAAAAGCGGGGCCGGCTGAGTGGCTCAGTTGGTTAAGAGCTCGCTCAAGAGTTTGAGCTCTGAGCAACAGAGGTTCGAGTCTAGCCCGAGCTGAGCAGCCGCTGAGCTGCCAACAGGTGGCAGGATGGCTCAGCTAAAAATAAATAAATAAAAAAGGAAAAAAGCTGCGATGATTATGATTCTTTACCCAGGAGAAGAGAAGGCTGAAGGAAAGGCGGTGGGAGAGTGGAAGAACCCAACCCCCACACAAGGTCACGGTCAACCTCTCCCAGGGGTGGGAGCTCACTGCCTGATCCACAGTAGGTGCGCAGGGCGTTGGTGTGTTTGGTGCGTTGTTGATACTGGTGAGATTTGTGAAGTCCTTCCCCAGATTCAAGCTCCTCCTGAGAGGTGCGGCCCCTCCAGCCTCCCTTAGGGGAAGCAGAGTGCCTCCTGCTTCATATCCCCTGCTCCCCAAGCTTGCAAGTGCACACCACCTTCCCCCCTGCAGGTGTCACGGAGCCAGCTCCGTGCCGTCACAGGGAAGAAGGGGCTTAATGGCAGGAAACAAGGCCAGGAGCACAGAGCCCGGTACCTATCTGGAGTATAAGACTATTAAAGATTGAATGTCCCAGGGAAGTGAGAGGCAGAGCTGACTGGCTGCAGAAGGGCAGGGCAGAGGGGGCCGACTGGCAACCCAGGTCCTCAAGGTGGGGTCATTGAGGACATGTGGCCCAGGTCCCAGCCTGATCCCATACAGAAGACCCCCAGACTCAGACACCTCATGTCCTTCTTCAGGTACCTGCTGCAGAGGATCTCTTCACCACATCCTTAGCTTCCAGGAGAATAAATAAGGGTCTGAATAGAGCAACCTCACCCTCTGCATTGGCTTCCTTCAAATATCTGCTTCTCAAAGACCCAGTCTCCAAAAGGCATGGCCTGCCAGGGCCTTGTCGGCTCCTGAGATGCTTGGCATTCGGCCAAAGCTGGGTATCCATGCTCAGGGCCCAGTTCCTGCAAGGCAGTGGCTGCCTGGCCCCAGGCTCTCCCCAGGGATCCCTGTGATCTCCAGAGGTCACCTGCAGGGCCCAGAAAACACAGCTGGCCCTGCTCTCAACGATGGTGGCTTCCAGGGCATAAAGCCTTAGCTCAAAGAAGCCTGAAACTACACAGGCTTTTCCAGAGAGGTGAGGCAGGCTGCCCCACTGTGTGGGGAAACTGACCAACCAGGCAGAGGTTGGCCCTACAGGCCTCTGCCCAGGACACCAAATCACCGGATGTATTCATTGCCTGGAGAATTACTTAATACTCAATGTGTTGCTCATCTTTTACGCTCCATCCCACAGCCTGTCAGCCCAGCACATGTGGTGCAATGCCAGGGCCAGATTCAGCTTTCTTCCCTGGGCTCCTGTGCCAAGCGAGCTGCTCTAAGCCATCTGGGGCTTTCCCAATTGACAAGGAGCTAACATCCCAGGACCAACCTCCACCAACAGGGGCTGGAGCTAGCAGACCAATCCCACACCCTGAGGCTCAGTCTACGGGTTCCTGAGGCTCTCAGGTGATGCTGAGCCCCAGCTGCACACACGGTAACCAGCTCATAACGCACCCCTGAACTGGCCCAGCCTCCTCCGTTTCTTCTTCCCAGTGCCCTACCGCTGTCCCCATGCTTCAGTTCCCGATGCGCATCCCTGCACCCAAGCCCCTACCCCAACCTCCGCTTTGGAGAAAGCCCAGGTAATGACGCAAGTTTACTTCCTCAGTAACTGTACTCGGTGACGGCGAGCAGTACCCCAGCTCCCCTGGTGGGATCTCCCTCCCACAGCTCAGACTCCCCGGCTTCCCAGATGTCCTGAAGAGTCTCCCTGAGTCCCAAAGGCAACGGGGAAACCTGCCCCTCTCCCCCAGCGCACTGCCTGCACTGCAGTCTTCCTGCCAGAGTCCTGATAACACGTGTGCCTGAGTGTACCCACCATCGTACAGCTTATGTCCCCCCCCTACACACACACACACTCCCCCCGATAGTTTGGGCCCCTGCCCAGCTGTCACTTCCCCTGGGGTTGGGCCCTATCCCCACTGCAGAAGTTAAGTGACTTCAGTTCCAGGAGGTGCCTTACCCACAGTCTCCCCTGGGCCCTTGCACATGCTGTTCCCTCTGCCTGGAATGCTCTCCCCCGTTGCCCACACCACCTGTGAAACCTTGCCTTGGCTTAGATATCACCTCACCAAGGAAGCTTTCCTGGACCCCTCCCTGCCAAGATGGTGCCCAGCACTCCTCTGTGGCAGCACCAGTCCCACTGCCTTATAATTATATCTTAATTTGTCTATCTTCCCGCCAGGCTAGGATGCACTCGCCCTGTTCTCAGCTGTGCCTCCACCACCCAGCACGATGCCCAGCACCTCCCGTGTGGGATACAATGAGTGAGTGAGTGAGTGAATGGATTGCTGCTCCCACGCCCTCTCCTTGGAGGCATTCTCCCACTCAGGGATGTAGGTCAAATCCCAGCCCTCACCCTGGGGCATCACGACAGCTCCCACCCTCCGGCTAAGGTCCCCAGCTGAGTCCACTGAGCATCGCTTTCAGGATCATTCCTGAACTGACCGCACCTGAACCTTTCTGCAGCCTTGTCATGGGGGGAAACGTATAAAAATAGGAAGTGGTTCCCCTGGCAACCACCACAGCAGATGGTCACCAGCATAGACAGTCTCAGAAAGCCTTGAGGTTTGGAGGAAAGGAAACCCCGCCCCAGCTGATAATGATTCCACCTGGGCCCAGCGGGGGGCTCTCTAAGCTGCCTCTCCTCTCATGGCTTCCTGGGGACCAGCTGTTCTGAGGCCTGCCCAGACTATGTGTCCCTGTCATCCCCTGCATTGCTACCCCTTGTCCCATCCTGTGGGGTCGCTGAGATCCTCCTGTAGCCGCCATCCTTCCTGTCCAGGGCCTCGCTTCAGAGGCTGCCAGCCGGAGACTCAGTCTTGCTGCCAGAGGCCTATTATCAGGTGTGCCATTGTGCCGAGCCTGTCCCAGGCCTCAGCTGGACTGTCTGGGCCTTTGCCCAGGTCTTCAGTGCCCCTGGCTCCGGACCTTTCCCTCCCG